TATCCTTCACTGATGTGCCCTGATGAGGCTGCACTGATAGGCTGCATTGATAGGCACTGATAGGCTGCGCTGATGAGGCACTGATGGGGCTGCATTGATATTCGGCACTGTCAGACAGCACTGTGATAGGCTGCACTGATGGGCAGCACTAATGAGGAGGCACTGATAGGCAGCTCTGATAATCAGGGCACTGACGAACAGTGCCCTGATTATCACTGTCAATGTCCCCGGTTTGAATTGCCAGTCACCAGCTCTCCTCTCCACACACTGTGACAGCACCTGAGGAAAATACTGTCGATAACCGGCAAGTCTATTTACAATGTGATCAGCTGTGATTGGACACATGGTAAAGATCCGCTGTGATTGGCCCTTTACCGTGATCTGTTGTGTCCAAAAGACAGTGATCACAGAGTGCGCCGGATGCGCATCTCAGGGGGTGCCGGGGGGGGGGGGGAGTGTGGTTCTGGGAGGACTTCTATAGATGTTTAGAGTTAACTAGAAGCTCTTGTACTGGAATTCTTGCTCTCACGCTGGCATTTGCGGGTCACATGTGTGGTGCAACCGCAGTTTCCATACATGTTTTTGTTTTAAATACATTTTATTATATATAAATTTTTTCAAACTTTTATTTATTCTTACCTGATTACTATTAATAAAACCCTTTGTGATAGCATTGGGCAGGTTAGGGCATCACTTTCACTATCAAGTCATCAGATTGTGATTAAAGGTTCACTCTGTGTACCTATGTACCACATCCAGAAAGCTGAACTGGTTAATACCACTTTAAGGTTAAAACATTTGGGCTTTAGAACTATTTGAAAATCTGTAAGGTGACCTAACACTGGACGCCCTCCCCATAATCCCCCCTTCCCCGGTCCTGCTGTACTGGAGTCCCACGATCCTCCGCTGCCAGACACTGGCATGCTGCTTCATCAGTTCAGGGATTTGAAATCCCTGTGGCTTAATCTCCTCTCTGTACGGCTTAGTCAGTACGGACCAGAGGGATTCTAATTGGTCAGCACAGCTGCATGTACAGCGCAGACCAATCAGAATCCGTCTAGCCCACCCTGTTAGCACTGTAAGGAGAGGAGAGAAAGCTGCAGGGATTTCAAATCTCTGGACTGTTGAAGTGGCATGCCAGTGTCTGACAGCAGAGACCAAGTAGAGCAGGACCAAGTAGGATGGGGAGGGGTCCAGTGTTAGGTCACTTAAGGTGACCTAACACTTTAAAGTGACACTAAACTCAGTTTAAAAATGAAATTTCTATTCAAATATTTATTCTTAAATACCATCTATTGCTCTTAGCCTGCTCCAAATTCCTTTTTAAAAAAAATTTTTGCCCGCAGTGTTTTCCTGTTAGAGGGTGGCTATGTTCGTTCCCCATGGCCCCACTGTATGTAGGAGTGTAGTCACCCACTCTTGCTCACTGCTGAGGTGGACTATAGAGTATGGATTACTTTTTGTAGTGTGCATAGAGCAGTGCACATGACCACAACTACTATGCAGTGCCTGTTCCAAACAAAGAGAAGTGAGGGGGTAAAGGAGAGGCTTATGAGCTCATTAAGGATGTTACAAGAAGGCAGGAAAAAACAGTAAGAAACAATTTCATGATGAAATAGATTACAAGGCCATTAAGTACTGAATGTACAGTACTGTGCAAACGTTTTAGGATCGTGTGAAGAACTGCTGTAAAATAAGAATGCTTTCAAAAATATACATTTTAATTGTTTATTGTTATCAATTTACAAAATGAAAAGTGAGCGAACAGAAGAAAAAAATCTAAATCAAATCAATATTTGGTGTGATTACTCTTTAGTTTCAAACCAGTATCAATTCTTCTAGGTACACACAGTGCTTGTGCACACATCTTGGAGAACTAACCACAGATCTCCTTTGGATGTAGGCTGCCTCAAATCCTTTTGTCTTTTAATGTAATCTCAGACAGGCTTGAAGATGCTCAGGGCTCTGTGGTGGCCAAACCATCACTTCCAGGACAACTTGTTCTTCTTGTAGTGCTACCCCCTTGAGAGCCGCTGAGTTTTTGGGTCCCCCTAAACTCTGCAAAGCCAGGCAACACGCATTTTCAACACTTTCATCCACAGTCAATAAACAGTCCATTTGCTTGTTTTTTTGTTGTTTTATTAGGGGTTAACCACTTGGATGGGGTCTAGGAGTATATGGGATGTCCAATTATTATTTTTATTATTATTATACAGGATTTATATAGCGCCAACAGTTTGCGCAGCGCTTTACAATATAAGGGAGACAGTACAATTACAATACATTTCAGTACAGAAGAAATGTGAGGGCCCTGCTCGTGGAGCTTACAATCTAAAGGAAGGGGGAGATGATAAAAAAAAGGTGATAGCTGCGAGGATGATCTGGTGGAGGTGATTCAAGAACAGTTCTTAGGTGGAGGTGGGGTAGGCTTCCCTGAAGAAGTGCGTTTTCAAAGATCGCCTAAAGGCAAACAGGGTGGGGGCTGACTGGACATGCTGTGGTATGGAGTTCCAGAGGATGGGAGAGGCTCTGGAGAAGTCCTCGAGGCGATTGTGGGAGGAGGTGATGAGGGAGCTAGAGAGGAAGATATCATGGGAGGAGTGGAGTGGGCGATTTGGTCTATATCTGTGGATGAGGTTGGTGATGTAGCTAGGGGCAGTGTTGTGGATGGCTTTGTAAGCTGTGGTTAGTATTTTGAATTTTATACGTTGGGTTATTGGAAGCTAGTGAAGGGATTGGCAGAGAGGGGCAGCAGTCGCTGATCGGTTGGTAAGGTGTATGAGTCTAGCAGCAGCATTCATAATAGACTGAAGGGGGGGATAGCCTGTGTAACGGTAGACCAGTGAGGAGGGAGTTGCAGGATTCGAGGCGGGATATAACCAAGGCATGGATAAGTTGTTTTGTGGTGTCATTGGTCAGAAAGGGGCGGATTTTGGAATTGTTTCGGAGGTTGAGGCGGCAGGATTTAGCCAGTGAGTGGATGTGGGGTCCAATGAAACTGAAACCACTTAAAGGACAAATTCTTAGGCACAAAAATCCAACAAAATCAGGAAGGAACAGATCCTATCTATTCTTTCAGGAGTGGCACTTATCTTCTGAGGAGTCAGCATACAGTCTTTGCAATGAGCACTTGGTCCCCTAAATGAACCTCCTCAGACCCCAGATAAAAAATCTTCTCATCCCCCTGGCTGTCTTCAGAGTATCTCAGAGCAAGGGATTCTGAGACACACAATTAATCTAGTCCCAGGGAGAACTAGTTGGGTATTGCTCCTGATCGCCCTCTTCCTTCTTTGCCTGGGGGGTGTAGAAGTAGTCACACTATCCTGTTCTGTAGCTTTAAAGGTTGAAGCTGCATTCAGGCTATATGCTGGGTTGGCTCCTTCCCTGCTGACAGACTGTCTTTCCCTGGTAGACTATGGGACAGTGGAGTTCCTTCTTTCCAGCTTCTAGCCTGTAGGCCGAACCCCCCCCCCCGCCCTCAGGCTCCACACCAGCAGCACTTCCTCACTTCATCTTCTACCTGACTCTCATTTTTAAGGGCTCACCTAGCCACCATGCCAGGCCTCCTGCCTGGAGATTGGCCAGATTCCTCTAAATATGCAGATCAGCCCTCACTCACCCCTGGCCACTGGCTTCTAGAAATGTCTCCAAGTTTCTAGAGAAGAGGTAGGCAGTGTTAACCTCGCTAACTCACTCTCAGGCTGACTCATACCCAGGCTTCTAGCAAGCCTCTAACTATGCATATACACAAAAAACTATCCTACACTAGAGAGCGTTACATTCTTTGAGCTGAAGATAGTTCTTATTGACATTGTCTGAATGTTTGGGGTTGTTGTCCTGTTGCAGAATACATTTTTGAGGCCAGTCACATGCCTCCCTGATGGTATGCATGATGAACAAGTGTCTGCCCGCATTTCTCAGCATTGAGGACACCAATGATAAGGCAACGTTAAAAAAGAATTTTGGGCAAATATTTTATTTTCCCATGCAGTGGGGCTGTGCCTACACTGCATGGCATTAAACGCTTGTTTTTCTCTAGGAGTTCCCAAAGCTTTGATATACTTACCTACATACCCAATCCGCTAATCCTCTGAGCGCAAGACTGGTCCCTGCCACTCCTGCCCCCCACACGCTAGTGGTCTTGTGAATGGGCTGTTCCTGACATCATCATGCCCATAGACTGACGTGAAGATGGCAGTAACAGTCCACCACTGGACGTGGGGGTGCGCAGTATTTCGGAGGACAGGGTAGGTATAGCTTTTTCCTGAGCTCCTTGACAAAATGAGCAGTTAATCCATGCAGTGTGGGAACAGCCCCACTGCATGCATGGGAAAATAATAATTCTGATTAGAGTTCTGCTTTAAGGACCATAGACACAGTGGTTGGCCAAGGAAACCTAATGCAGCAGATGAAAGACACATCGTGCTTATTTGCTTTTGACATTGGAAGATGTCCAACAGTTCCATCAGCACCGAACTGGCAGAAACCTGTGGAGCCCAGGTACACTCATCTACTGTCTAGAGAAATCTGGCCAGAAGTGGACTTCATGGAAGAATTGCAGCCAAAAAGACATACCTCCAATGTGGAAACAAGGCTAAATGACTCAACTATGCACAAAAACATAGGAACTGGGGTGCAGAAAAATGGCAGCAGGTGCTCTGGACTGATGAGTCAAAGTTTGAAATATTTGGCTGTAGCAGGAGGCAGTTTGTTTGCGAAGGGCTGGAGAGCAGTAAAATAATGGGTGTCTGGAGGCAACAGTGAAGCATTGTGGAAATCCTTGGGGCTGCATTTCTGCAAATGGAGTTGGAGATTTGGTCAGGATCAATGGTGTCCTCAATGTTGAGAAATAGAGGAAGATATGCATCCATCATGCCATACCATCAGGGGGGCGAGTGGCAGGCCCCAAATGTATTCTGCAGCAAGACAAATGACCCCCAAACATGCAGCCAATGTCATTAACCTCCCTAGCGGTATTCCCGAGTGTAGCTCAGGGTAAAATGTCAGTGCCAAAAGCGGTAACCCCGAGCTACACTCGGGCTTACCATGCGGCGCTGCATAGGGAGCCCCTGCAGAGCTTACCTTGTCCTTTGCTCCCGCAATGTGTCCCCTGCAGCATCCCCGGGCATCTCCTCTGGCCGATGCCGGCATCCGGCTTCTGTGTTCCGGTCCCTGTGACGTCAGGACATATGGGCGGAGGCGGGAAATTTGAAAATTTTTAAAAAATGTCATTTTTTTCAAAACAAATTTTTCATAGTAAAACATTGCTGTTTCAACCCATTTCACATACATATTGTCCCTAGTGCTTTGTCCTGTGCCCTGCCTGGATTTTGTCTGTTCTTTCTGCCTGGAAACTGAGAAACGTCCATGGCGTCCAAAAAGCGTCCCTTTAGGTCAAAAGCGGGTTTAGATCAGCTAGAGAATACCGATAGTAAATCAGAACCACTTGCAGAATTGAGTGATAATGATTCATGGGGAAATTCGTCATCAGACACTGAAAACGGTTTTGCAAATTTGCTCAGCAATGTACGAACTTGGCGCTTCAAATTTCAGTGTTTTCGGTTTGATTATATTATTGAATTAAATGTATTATTATTATATTATTATTTTTTATGATTATTTATTAAATTATAATTTATGATTTCGTGTTTCAAATTTTATCATACCCGGGATGTTTAATAGACTCTTGTTCGGACAGATTTCAGTGAGTTATTCCTAAAAATTACAGCCTACAATAAAAAAAAAAAACTACATATTTCCATGGAAAATAATGGTACCGCTTTCAGCACCAAAAATCTGAAATAATCATACCGCTAGGGAGGTTAATAACTATTTTCAGTGTAAAGAAAAACAAGGAGTCCTGGAAGTGATGGTTTGGTCCTCACAGAGCCCTGATCTCAACATTATTGAGTCTGTCTGAGATTACATGAAGTGACAGAAGGATTTGAGGTAGCCTACATCCACAGAAGATCTGTGGGTAGTTCTTCCAGATGTTTGGAACATCTTGCTGACTTCCTTCAAAAACTGTGTGCACAAACACTGTGTGCACCTAGAAGAATTGGATCTGTTTTGAAGGCAAAGGGTGGTCACACTAAATATTGATTTGAGGATTGCTGTGATCTATTGGCCTCCTAGACCAGTATCAAGCTTTCTTGATGTCTTCTCTGCCTGGCTACCCTACTTTTTCTCTTCTGAAACTCCCACAATCATTCTCAGTGACTTCAACATCACTCCTGCTACTTTAAACTTCTGAGCCTAATCTCCTCTTTTGAACTGAAACAATGGACATACACTTCTACTCACACTGATAGCAACTGCCTTGACCTTGTATTCTCCAGCCTATGCACTCCTTGCAACCTCACCAACATTCGTTTTCCTCTGTCTGATCACTACCTTATTAGCTTCACTTTCCTTGTCTTCCTCCTCCTTGCCTTCGAACTACCTCAGAGTTACCCATAGAAACCTTCACCATCTTAACCCTTCTCTTTTTTTTTTCAAAAGATTGTCTCTATGACAAAATCTCAGCCCTGTCCCAACCTGGCCACTTTTGTCTACAACAATTCACTGTCTTCCACTCTGGACACATTGGTCCCCCTCACTACACACGGAATCAGGCCCCGACCACTAAAATCCTGGCAAAACAAAATCTGCCCTGCTGAGGAAGCTCTGGTACAGGAGCGTAAAGTGTACAGGATTTGGAGCTACGCTGTGGGTATGAGAACACTGGCTGTACTAATTACTAAGACCCATGTTTATTCATGAGATACATAGCACTATGGGTGCTTTTTAAATGCAAGTGTTGATTTTAGGAGCTTTTATAAATAGTTACTATCCAGAGAGCATTATTGTGGTCCCATTCTATTTATGCATGTGATGTTACTGGGGTAATGAATACTGATGAGGAAGGAGCAAAATGAATAGCTGATGCCACATATGCCCAAGGTGGGGCAACAAGTGTGTTATGACCTTGATCTGTATTGAGGTCCATTACACAAGGTGAGCACACATTATTAGTGGGTTACAGAGCTTGAGAAAAGAGGAATGAAGCAATAAATCACATTACGGTGGTGGAGGAAATACAGCTTTATTGGAAACTGAAAGACTGTTACATTGTTTTGAATTAAAGACTGTCACATTATTTGATGGGATTGCGCTACATCGTGAAGGACAGTATACATTTTGTTGAAGTGTGGTGAAGAGCACTAATTGATGTGTCAGCAGCAATCACTTTTTATTTTATTTTCTAGTTTATTTTATATGCGTTTATATTTTATTTTTTATGTTTATGAACTTTTATTACTAACTGTGCAAATTGTTTACACTGTTCCTTGAACAGTCTTCAACCGGATGAGCTGCCACCTCATTGAGAACAACCTTCTTGATCACCTTCAGTCTGGATTTCGCCCGCAACACTGCACAGAAACTGCTCTCTTAAAACTCATAAACTACTCACTAACAGCTAAAACCAACGGTCACTATTCTGTACACTTACTCTTGGACCTCTGTGCTGCCTTTGATACAGTTGACCACCTAGTCCTGAAAAAAAACTATTTTCTTGGTCTCTGTGACTGTACTCTCTGTTGGTTCGCATCTTACCTATTTCACCGCACATTCAGTGTCACTTAGAACTCTACTTCCTCCTCTCCTGCTCTTGGACCTCTCCTATTCTTGATCTGCACCTCTTCCCTGGACCAGCTAATAGCTTCCCATGGTTTCCAATACCATTTCTATACTGATGACACACAAATCTATCTCTCTACCCCTCAGCTCACCCCATCAGTTTCCTCACGTATCACTGATTTCTCTGTCAAGATCAAATGCCATAGATATCAACCCATCCCCACATGCCAGGGTGCTAGGGATAACCCTAGATTCTAAACTGTTCTTTCAGGCCCATATTCAATCCCTGTCCAAGTCATGCAGCTTCAACCTCCACAACATCTCCAGAGTACGCCCTTTTTTAACCAATGACACCACAAAACTTCTAACTTACTCCCTGGTTATCTCTCACCTCGACTACTGCAACTGCCTCCTCATTGGATTACCTTTACATAGGCTATCCCCCCTTCAGTCCATCATGAATACTGCTGTCAGACTCATCCACCTTACCAACCATTCAGTGTCTAGTACCCCTCTCTGCCAATCTCTCCACTGGCTCTCCCAACAAATAAAATTCAAAGTACTAACAACTTACAAAGCCATCCACAACTCTGCCCCCAGCTACATCACTAACTTGGTCTCAAAATATTAACTAAATCGCTATCTTCAGTCCTCCCAAGACCTCCTGCTCTCTAATTTCTGTGTCATCTCCTCCCATGCTCCCCTCCAGGACTTCTCCCGAGCTTCTCCCATCCTACAGGACTCCCTCCCAATCTGTTCAACTATATCCTTCAAGTGATATGTGATTTTGCATGTAATATGCATCAAAATAAGGATATGATTTAATCTCTGCTGTTACACTTCCTGCTTGGCAGAGCAGATGCTGTTATTTTTTAACTACAGAGATGACTTCCTAAAAATTCAGTTAAACTTATCTCTTCAATGGTAAGGAACTTCACAAATGTATTAACTGTTTAGTGTTTTGTGCAGGATGGTGTACTATTGGGTGATTTTTTTGCCTATCCCGGAGTTCTTTAAAGAGAAGGGTTTTCAGGGATCATCTAAAGATGTTTAGCAGCAAGCCTTATAATCACAATTTTTTATTTTACCTTCAGCAGTTTATTGTAAGTAACGTGGTGATTACCTATTATACAAAAAATTGGCATGTGGCACAAGTAAACATTGACAGATTTCAGTTGTGCCCCACCAGGCTGGACCCCCATAGACATTGTGCCTGGCCAGAACGGAACTATGGATAAAGGGGTGGGGGGGGATGGGGCTGTAGGTGAGGAGCGGGCTGGGGGTTAGCATGGGGCTGTGGTGGGATAGTTGGATGTGTGATTAGGGAATGGGATGAGGTGAGATGGGTGGATAGGGCTGGAAAGTAAAATGACTGATAAGAGGGAGATGAGAAGGTTGGAAAAATGCTAGGTGGCAAGAGGAAATGTATCAACTGCTCAATAGGGTGGCAAAAAAAAAAAACCGCTGGAAGTAAGCTGGATGGTTATCATAGCTGGTGAGTGGGTGAGATGATGACAGGAGGAGAGCAGCTAGAGACATAAGCGAGGGAGGGGCCATGTGGGAAGGTAATGGGCTGTGTGGTGGATGACAGAAGGAGAGCAGCTGGATACACATGTAGGGCAGAAGATGTGGGAAGGTATCGGCAACATTGACAGGTGGCTGAAGGGGGAATGACAAGGTGGTCGGTTGTAATAAAGTGGATGACAAGGCTGAAAAAGGTAACTGGTGTGGGGAGAGGAGACTGATAATGAGCAGGCAGTACAGTTTTTGACAGTGGGCTGGGATGATTGTATGCAGGATTTGAACACCACATCCATGGGCGGTACAGACCGGCAGTCTCTGAGTCCAGGTCTGCCCACTACAGCAAGCAGGGACAGAAGTACATCCCTACTTGCTGTATAGAACTACAGATGGGAAATGCCAAGAACGGTGGCTGGGGAATAGGAGGATTAGCAGCCACTGGCCTTACAAACAGGAAACCACAGGGGATTAACGGTTTCATTTGAAAATCACCAGCCTATTTCAGAGCAACTACTGAGTTAACAAGATGGAAGACATATTTGGTAAAGGTAGGAACTCAGCAAAAAGGACATGTAAAAAAGTTTTTGCCCAGTGTTCTCCTTTAACACCTTCCTGCCCGGCTTATAGCAGATTGACGGCCAGGCGGGACACTCCTCCTTCTGAGTGGGCATCATATAACGTCCTGTCAGAAGATGCCGCTCACTACACTGGCCCGCTGCCCACTATCAGTGTCATGTCACTGCTGCAACCAATCACAGCAGATCACATAACAATTGTATACAATGGATAGCTTGCTTTCATGCCATCCTTTGTATACAATTGTGTTGTTAGCTGTGATTGGTCACAGCGGAAAAATGGTACTGACAGGGTCAATCACTGCCCATATGTACCATATGTATGAGAGCTTTGCCCAATCCCAGCTAATCACAACAAAAGACTGAATTGATCAGTTTGATTTAGTAAAAATGGTTGCTAACATCAATGAAATCCATTGGTATTAGCAATCATAATGTGTTTAAAAAATTCCTGATCACTTGCCCAGAGTAGTACGTTACTATGGTAACATTGTATTGCTCCGGTCACAGTGTGTTGAAAAAAAAAATAGTAAAAAAAGAAAAAAAAGAAATATTACATTTTGTTTATTATCTTTTTTTTTTTTTTTTTTTTTAACATACTGTCACCAATCAGTGTCCCTGATCACTGCC